AGATACAGAATGGAGTTCATAAAGAAGGAATTTCCTTGTAAAATCCACTTACTATACTGTGTGTCAGGTACCATATACATGTATATTTCCAGCTTTACAGCAATCCTCCAAAGAGTTTCTTATTCCTACTTCCCAGATTTAAAAGCCAAGACCTCAAGACAATAGGTAAATTAACCAAAGTTGCATAGCTAATCAAAGAAGATCTAAAGCTGTTATCTTTTATAGCAAATGCCCCTCAGTAATTCTAAGACTAGCTTATTTTGTCTATATTTCCCCTATTGTACAAACCACTCCCAGGCAGCCCAAGGAGTCTCCAGTGAAGAAATAAATTCACAGCAGTCCTGCCTTTCCATTGTCCTAATACTTTTTAAGGCTTGGTCTCAGATGAATCAGTAGAAGTGCTTGTCATAAAATTTAAAGAGGCCTTCCAGAGTTCATGCAGGTGCATACCCACAATATTGCTTATTCTAATCCTAGTCCTGTCCCTCCTGCCAAATCCCCTAGAGGCAATTATACATGGTGTCTATCACCATGGTAACCAGAACAGGCCTGAGACCCGTCTGGAGACACTTTGACGTTCTTACCCTTTTGAGTCCATGTTGCTATTTCTGAACACCTTCTGCCCTAAAACTATTTCCCCTTCTCCACTCCAGAAGTACATTTTACAATGATTTTCATAATAGCTGCATAGGCAGGGAAAAAAGTGACCATGAAGTGGTCCATTTGCTGACTGCCTTCTGTTGTAAGAGGCTAAGTTCCCAAAGATTGTGAGACCAGGATTTAGTCGGGAAATTAGTGCTCTGAGTAACAAGTGGGTCTGTCTCTGACACAAGATGCAAGGCGTTTCTCTAGCCATTGTTGAATCTCAAGTCAACCCTCCTTATCATACAGAAGAGGAAACAGATTTCAACAGAGAAAATGAGTGAATGTATGACCTCACCTACTTCATGCAGCATTGGGAGTAGAAAGTCCATTTCTATCTACACTTAGCACCTTTCCATGCTAAGTCAGGGAAATAGAGTCTACCATACATGGTGTTCTCTTGATTCTATTATAACTTTAATCAATAGCTGTTTAGAAAGGCAGGCAGCATCTTTACTGTCTGTGTTCAGTTTCACACTCTCTCTCTGAATAGCTTGTTTTCATTGTCCAGCTTTGTGCTAACCATGATAAAATATCTGATGTAACTAAGCTATAAAAAGAAATGGGCTATTAAGCTTACATGAGAGATTCAAATCAAAGATCAGGTGACCTAATCGCTTCTCTGTAATGATGGCGGCAGCATTAGATCAGTACATGTCAAAACAACTGGTCTCATCATAAGCCAGAGAGCAGAGAAAGAATCGAGCCAGAATCTCCCTGTCCCCTTTGGGTGCACACCACCAGTGATCAAGAACATAACCCATTATATATGTACCTATTTCCTACCTCCCAAAGGGTCAACCACATTCTAAGAGTTCTACTCTGGGAACAAGCCTGTAACATGGATCTTTGCAGAATGTTGACCCAAATCATCCACTTCCCAGGCAGTAGATTATGAACATTTTATTTCTTGGACTACCTACTTTAGACTTATCTATCATATCAACCCAAATTATAGAGTTTTAAACTATTTCCTAGTTCTTCTGAGTTGGGATGTGGTTCTGTCTCTTGATTTTAAGAACTACTACTAGAAATTTGAGGCTTTTTATATCCATGACTTCTTATTTAGTTTATGGCCTGGGCTTTTCTTTTCACTGGGGTGTTTAAGTCTGTGAGTCCATCATCATCTTGTATTCCTAGGTCTCTGTCAAATTCAACAGGAAATGAAAACCACTATATTTCTCATCGTACTGTGATTTGACCAGAATACGCATGGGAGAGAAAAAAATTTAAAATAAGAAACACTGTTTTTCCCTTGTCGGTCATGAGAGTGTTACAGAGAAAGCTTCCTCATTTATTTCTGGTATATTTTCAATAAAAGTTTCTTGTCAAACATGATGAAACACTCTTAAGATCTTCATTTTCAGTGAAGGGCAAAATATTTTCAAATACACATCAGTATTTTCTTCCAACTCCTTTGTAGGAGTTTGGTTTTGTACTTCCAGGATAAATTAGATACCAGCGGGCATGGGCAGCATCTAGACATGCACGTGTCTAGCACAAAAATAGCCTATATTAGTTGCCAAGATATAAATTATGACTTTCTACTCTCGGTCTTAGAGTTTAAATATTTTCAGAGTTTCCCTGTTTATACACTGCATGTCAGTATCTTCACTAATTGATATGCTGAATCACTAATAATGTCCTGAGAATGGCCCTCATTCTCAGGATAAATAAGATTTATGCCATGTAGCAGGAACCCAAAGAGGTTCTTTATATTCTTTCTACTGTGTTCTACAGTTCGTATGTAGTTCCAAAGAGAGTCCTAACCAGAAACTAATAACATTAAAATTCCAATTTTGGACTTTGAACTTCTAAAATATAAGAAAATGATGTTTAATATGTAAGCCACCCAGTTTATACCACATTATGATAGCTTATCTGTTATCACACAAATCACAGTCCAGAAGTCAGTATATGGAGCTGGTTATTTTAACTGACTACAGCATATCATTGTTGAATGTCAGTTTTCCAGTCTTCCTTCCATTGAGAAGTAGGCTCTAAAAACCTTCTCCTAGCATCTGTGAATGTTTACTGACTGATATGATTTGTAAGATATGATGGGTGTGATAAATTACCCAGTGTCTGGGCCTAAGCTGAGAAATAACAGAAAAGCTAGATTTCTAACTCTTTGTAACACTTGCAATGTGTCTGAGATCACTATACTGCTAGAAGACCAAGCAACAGGAAGAGGGCCTAGAAAGAGAGACCATGTGAGAAAAGACAGAATAGTCAAGGAGTACCAGCCTTCCAGACATACAAATGAAGTAGATCTTCAGATGAACCTTACAACCGAGCCCTTCACCAAAACCTAACCCATAAGTGCACAAGCAAAGCTAGATAAATGTTTGAGCTATAAATATAGACTCAATAACTGCAACAAGAGGCTGTTTCTAAGTTCCTCTCTTCTGAAACTTATTTTTGGGCCAATTTTGTTTTGTTTTATATCCTAGCTCCTAGTGAAATTTGTTTCTATAGTTTTATAAAAGCAGTTATGTAGAGACCATTGAATTATACAATCCTTTGGTAATTAAATATTAAATATGTAAGTAGATATCTACCTAAAGTTAAATAGGTACCTCTTCGCAGCATCTATAAATTTAACTGCCAATTGAAAGTATTCAGAAAAATCACTGTATATTTGCTAAACATGGACAGACTTTTTTTCTATATTTCTAAACAGAACCAAAAAAACCACTATTTGCATACTATTTACATATATTGGGTATTATAAAAAAAGATAATTTTAAATACATGGGCAGATGTATGTAGTTTATATGCAAATAGTATACCAATTTTTAATGAGATACTTTCACATTTGTGGATTTTGATGTCCTTGAGAAATCCTGAAAACTAATCCCCTGTGATCATTGTTATCACTTCATGTGGTAACAAAGATAGTTATGAGGGCCAGAAACAGAAGTGAAAGCAACAGCAGCTTCTCTATGAGTACATTATCTTCAAGAGACAACCTTGCTCAAGATCAAGAGAGCACCAGACCCGGCACTGGTCAGCTGTAGGAACTGCTTTCCTTATCTATGGAACCAGGTCCTATTCATCTTTGCCACTGATGACTTTATGAGTATGCGAGCTCAGCTTTTGTACTAGGTATTTATGAGTGTCTGTTTGTGTTTCTTACAATGTATTAGAAACTTATTCATGGTGCTCCAGTCCGTGGGACAAATGAAATATCCGATTCTTTGCTGCACCCTGTACCTTTCCTGTCTCCTCCAGCTCTCAGTAAATATTTGTTGAATTAATGAATGAACAAATGAGTATGTGTTAGTCACTGCAGTTACAAAGACAAATGAGATATGATCCCTGCCCTTGAGGAGCTCACAGTCTATTGAACACAAGCAGCAAATTAAATACTGGTCATGCCTCCTGGCTAGTTCATTCTTTTATTTGGAAACACCATTTCATCTGTGTCTAGCTGTTTTTCATACCAACACCCAAATGAAACAAGATATGTGAAAATCTACCTTGGAGGACCCTAGAAAGGGAGTGGAGGCATTCCACTTATCCTGCAGAGATAGCCTCTCTATGCTGACTATTTGGGAAGGCAGTAGGAAGAAATGCCCCCACCAGAGTTGCAGGAACCTGAGCCCAGTTACTCAGAATCACCCGCAGGGACCGATCAGAAAAAGCAAGAACAAAACCACTGACACACCACTGCATCAAGCTGCGCCCGCCCTGGCTGCAGAAACAGCAGTGTAGCCACTGTGTAGGCACAGCATCCCAAGCTGCAGCTAGAACCGAAAGATCTGAGGTAGGCCCCGGGGTTTGGCTTAGGCTTGTAAAATAGAGGTGAGAATTTTCAAATCAAAATTGTGATCACTGATAGTGAGGAATGAAGCAGACAGGAGTGATGAGGAAATTCTTGATAATCAGCACCCAAGCAGACTTAGGGGTAAGAGCAGACTCTGGTAGTCTGGTATTCTACAGCTCAATGCAGTGACTGTAATTCAGAGAAATCCACTCTATCGTGTATGGAGAACCACAGGAGAGGAACTCAGTTATACTCATGATTAGGAGATGGAAATGTCAATAATCCTGGTTGGATTGGGACCTTTCCCTCACATGTATTAAAGACTATAGCATATATCATGAATATGTGCAAGTACATGTCCATCAGTATATTTTTTTCAAATATTTAAGGAGACAGAAATGTTTCCTACCTGGATTTCTTTATTAGAAGCTATAGACATATGTTGAATTATTACAAAACAGTCCATAAATATGTATAACTAAAATCATTAATTGAACAAGAGCAATGTGTAGAAAACCCAGATTTTAGTCAGCCATCTTCATCCACGTTGTTAAAAGAATTAGCTCTTTTCCCTTAACAAATATGTTTCCCTGCCCTGAGAGGCCTTGCAGGGGTGGCTGCTGTGTCACCTGTATGTCAGTAGGTGGCAGAGAAGAGAGAGGCTATGTCTAAGCTCAGTATTTTGACGTGTGAACATCTGATGATTAGTAGCCTAACACTAACTGAAAAACAAAATCGAGCCTGAGATGATCACCAGTCCTGCATTGACACCCAGGTGCGGACTGGCTCCAAGGGTGGGGAGCTAGCCCAAGACAGATGACCCCTGCATGAGGCCACAAGGCTGGCCCAGGTGAAGTGTGAGCCCAAACCAGCCCAGCACCAGTGAAGGAACTAGCCTGAGATGACCACCTGTCCTGTTCCACACAGGCCTGAGGTGGGGGTAGGGGGAGTCCATGCCTGAGATAACCCCTGCCCAGTGCCATAATGCACAAGTGGAACATCGCACTCCTGAGACCACTCCTAAGATGACCCCAGACACTCAGAGAACCTGAATGCCACTAAGAGGAGCAAGTAAGTGGTGGAGAAATGAATGAGAAAGAGAAATAGAACCATGTGGGCACAATGAAGAGAGGCAGACCTAGAGATTTGAAGGTAGTGAGGAACAGCCTGATGTAAGTACTCGGTAATGCTACCTGAGACCGTGGTGTGATCCGGGCCTGTGCTGCCATGGGGGGTAGGGGGGGCTACTTCTGGGTCTGTGGCCCTGCAGCAACAAGGGTCTGTTACTACCAAAGGCCAAGCAGACATCACTGGCCTGGACTGCCTCTAAAGACATGTTGATATCTGAGGGCTGTGCAGAACTGGCCTCACCCTTCACCTCGGCATCATGGGAGAGCTAGCCCTGGAGTCATGAGAGTAGGAGAGTTGACCCTGTTCCTAGCCAACTGTAGTAATTATGAGAATGGCCCATATCGTGTAGTAAGCACAGTAGAGCTGGCCCTCATTGCAGTAGTTGCAAGTGAACTGCCCTTGAAAATATGAACATGAGAGAGCCATCCCTGACACTTATTACCCATGCAGTGGCATGGACAAGGAAGAAATGCCTACACCTGCCTTGCCCCACCCCTTGCCACTTATGGCAGGTAGGACAGCTGTCCCCAAGGTCATCAGAGCAGGAGAGCTGGCCCTTGCACCTCACCTGCTGCAGCATTTGGGAGAGAGGGGCCGCCTGCACCTGGCTTGGGCAGCACAGGACAGCCTGCCCTGTTCACAAATGCATGAGCATTATTGAGCTAGCCCTGCTTCTTGTCTGCTATGTGATGTTGCAGTCTTTTCCTTCCCACCTATGACAGGTGGGGGACCTGGCCCTGAGGTGATGTGAGCGTGAGAACTTGTCCTGTCCTTCACTAGCTGCAATAGTGGGGAGAGTGGGCCCTGCACCTCAACTGGGCATCAGAGCAGAACTCATCATTGTTGCTAGAGGTTGCAGATGAGCTAGCCTTGAGTGCATGAGAATGGGAGAGCTGGCTCTGCCCCTTGCTGGCTAAAGCATTGGATGAGCTAGCCAAAATAGGGCAGGAGAATTGGCCCAGATAGTGTGGGTGCAGGAAAGCTGGTGTGGTGACCAGCTCAGATAGCTCTCATTGGATTTGGCTCACGCCAACATCTACCCCAGAATCATACATGAACTCCTGGAACGTGTGAAGAGGCCAGTCCTATAGACTCAGAGCTACAGGATCTCCATGATACAGAGCAACAAGAAGATATCTGAGAGGAGTCCCCTTGAGGTTCCATTATTGATTATGCAGTCGAAGCCAGAGGTCTCGACCACATCGATGACTCATTGCAATGAGCATTTGCAAGCAAAGAAGTGTAGACAAAAGGGTGTGGGTAGACTGTGGGTCACACTGTGACACACTACACCCTCCATAAGATGTTTTTTTTTTCTGTTGTGGGAGAGTTGCAAGATTGTAGTGTGGATCTAAAGGAAGGAGGAGGTGAGTTAGATGGGGTGCATAATGTGAAATTCACAAAGAACCAATACAAGGTTTCTTTTTAATAAGCATGTTTCAAATTTGTACATCTTTGCCCCTTTCTTTATACTTCAGAACTTTATGTTAGACAAAGAGAAAATGATATCTTTGTTTAATCTTATAGGTGAGTGGCTCCTGGGTCTTTCCCTTATTCTAACAAAAGTAAGTATCTATGTCAAAATGTTTATATGAATCAACAGGCAGTGTTGACTAAAATCCAGTTGGAAAGATTTCCTTTTCTTACAGCAAGGGGATGGTGTCTGAGCATGGCTGCACAAGGGTGCTGTCCTTGTCTGGTCAAGTAGTGGACTTGGATACAGCTCAAATAGACTGAGCTCTGTGGGTAGAAGTGATGCTGACTGAAATGGAGAACCTGGTGGAATACTTAACCAGCAGTCTGTTTGCTGCCTTTGTTCCCCATACTCTGAGTTCCTGCGCGTAGAAACTCCTGAGGAAAACATCAAAATTCCTCTCTCCCTGGAAGCTTGAAAGTTTATCAGCATTAGCATCTAAAAAAGAAAAGACAGTCTTTATTGAGATATATTTTCTCCTTTAAGGGGTAAGTAGTTCGTGGCAGTCAGCATTAGACTCCAAAAGAACCAAATTCATTATCTCGGTACTTACATGAAATTATAAAAAAATCAAAAGTTCTTAAAGTTAGCAAAAACTGTCAAGATGATCCATTACAAGTTTGAGCACTGTCTTCTGATTCTGTCTAAAGAGATCCACTTCCAGAAAAACAAAATCAAAGCAGTCGGCATGTTGCTTACATCTGTATCACATGACAGGCTATAGAAGAAGGACTGCAGCAAATTTGAGCCATCCTGACCTAGAGTGAGACCCTACCTTAAAAAGCAAAACAAAGCAAACAAACAAAAAAAACTAAAATAACAAGATTAAACATTCACAGGAATATAACTTGCTTACTAATTTTCCTTTCTGTCCTTTGAAGTTTTGCTGTCTTTCTTTGACCCATGGGTTAACTACTGTGGCTTTTGGCTGTTATAAATATTTTCCTGCATCATGTGCCATTTTAGTTTAGTGCACTTAAAAACTCTAAAATTTCATGGCTCTCAAGGCTTATATTCATGAGAGATGCTATGTTAAGTGAATTAAAGTTGGAAGTTACTAAAAAGAGAAATCCAATTAAGAGACATGCCTATTTCCAAGATGTCTGCCTCAATCAATGCCTTGGGATACAAAGCACATACATGGATAGAGATGCACAGAAGCAGAGATGCTGAGGGACATGGATTACTACTGGTCCCAAGGCAGCAATCACCAGAGACCTGCCTAGTTTCATAGTCTTGTCCCCTAATCAACAGTGCCAAATATTTCAACAGGAAGTAGCCTGGATAAAATCCTTAAAACAAGGGGCCTTCTGATCCTTTAATTCAGGAGAAAAAAAAAGATTCTATGAGGATAATATCATAGACCCCAAAACAAACTTAGAAGGGTCATATGGTTTATGCTCCTGGCTTCAGATTAAACCAAGTATCACCTATCCATAGAATAGTGATGTGCCTGCTTGTAACTCTTTAAACAAAAGAGGCTGTTTGGATTTTTTGATAACCCAACTTGATGTTTAATTGCCTTTTCCAGAAGGGAATTTTTTGTTATGAGTTCAGAGCTGATCAGAGCTAGTTCCAGTATCTATACTGTTACTCTGTCTCTGGAACATTTAGTTGGCTACTGATCTTGCTAAATCTTATTTAACTGCTTTGTAGTATTGGGATAAGCAACAGGCCTCTTACTGACATGGAATGATTTTTTTAAGGAGTAAAGAGAAAACAGAAAAGACCTTCGAAAGATGTCACTTCTTTGTTCCTCTGTTAGCTGGCATCTGCCTATTACACTCCAAGTGCTCTCCAGTATTACTGTGGAGGTAGACAGTCCACTGTGTGGTCATTTCCTGAGGTAATAGTCAGCATGGTGTAACTGGAAAAAAAATTGGCACACACTTCAAAGGGAAGCTGGCTTGCCATCAGAATAGCAAGATAAAAGGAGAAAACATTTAGTGTGTCACACTAGACTGTGGGAGTTAGTAGTTACTGCTTATGCCAGATACCATTTGACATCACCGGGGCATGGGACCAAAAAGCTTTGCAGCCAATCCCCTGAATGATAAGGGAAGATGATTCCTTTCATTTGTCATTACTAAGGAAGCGGGAGACATGTTGTTGACAGAGACCTACATGGAGCCCTGCATACAGATGAAAGGGAAGCAGAAGCCTGGTTTTGTGGGTACCAGCTACACCGCAGGAGCTTTACACAGAAAGTAAAGCACTTTGAGACAAGAGTTGTTTGCTGTGGTGATGTCTAAAAATGCCTCTTGGTTATTAGTGGCAGTTTCTTCACCATGGTGAAGAAATTTCTGACCCAAGACTGTGCTATAAAATATGCTTTAAAGACTCAGGGACTTGAATAGTGCTCCCTGAGCTGAAAAAGTTACTCAAGGTTCACATACTCTACTAAAAATAAGCTTAGTCCTTCCTGGTTATCAGAAAGCTGGGATCTATCTTGCTTTTTTTAAGCAACAAAGACATAAAGTATGCATAGTCTCTGCTGAGGGTAGCACTGAGGTCTAAGGTGAAGGGTGACAAACGTGAACCATGTCCTCAGATTACTCACAAGAAGAGCTGATATTCAGCAACTATTTGTTGAATAAAACATGAAGGGAGATATTTAAACAGGTTATTTGTAATATGACACACATTCTGACAGTTTCTGCTGTGATTCTCTCTGTGAGTGATGTAATAGGGGTGGGCAGAGCCTTGTAGAAGATACAACGTTTGGGTTATCTCTTTAGTTTTTGACGTTATAATATAATTACATCATTTTTCTCTTCCCTTCCCTCCCTTCAAACTGTCACATATGCCCCTTCTAGCTGTCTCCTAAATTCATGTGTGTGTATGTGTGTGTGTTTGTGTGTGTGTGTGTGTGTGTATGTGTGTGTATCACAACCTGCTATATAGCCTATAAACTGGTTGGTCTGTATAATGTTGCCTGTAAATATGTTTTCTGGGCTGGCCTTGTATTGGTTAAATAGTTGGTGTACCCTTCCATCGAGAAAAATATTTGTCTCACTCTTAGCATTCCTTAGTTCCCTGGACTGCATCTAAAAGGGTGGTTATTGATTTGCAAAGCAAGCACTTACAATTTGAAGATACACTATAAACACAACAC